TATAAATAGTAAACGCTAAATGGAAACAGAAATTCGTGCCATCGAAATGCACAGTCATGAGATCGGGTTTGGCAAGTAGCAGATTCATTGCGGTGATGCACTCCATTTCACGGAGACTGCAGAAATTGCATTTTGTTTATTTTCTCTATTTTACAACAGCACAACCTTTTGGTGTTATTGTGAGTGTACACATTACCGCGGGAAGTAGGGGTGATGAGGGTGCTGCAGCACCCCCTGGCGTGTAGCCCAAGAAAATGGGGGGGCTGGGGGGGGGCGGTGTTAAACATAAATAAATGAAAATTGTAACAAAAAATAAATAAAAACTATATTCATTAAAATTAATAGAAAAAATAAGCCTTATAAGCAACAGTAAAACATGAATTAAGTTGAATCAAATTGATTGTGAAAGTCGTTTAAACTTAAACTGACTTAGAAAGTCATTTGTTGCCATGACTTTTTAATCATATTACCTGTAAAATCTGTGCCGTACCCAAATCAAGAATTAACGAACATTTCTACAGCTATTGCAAAGATACAGCAGAGAAAGATCGAGAGCGTCTATTTACCTCAGCAGCAACCAATCTCGCATTCTCGCATCTGCAGCGCTTTGATCTTTAACGTTAGATCTTTCCTATTCTTGGAATAAAATTAATGCTTAAGGTTGATTCAGTATTACTCTTAATTTAAAAAAAATCCCACACACAACATCAGCAATACTACAATGACAATATTAAACAATAAACTTTTATTAACAGAACGAATAAGACATACCCACGTTGTAACAAATAAATAAAAGGTTTTTGAATTTTCCCCTTACTTCAAACGAATGCTTAGTTTGGCTCATTATTATTATTACTAATAATAAAAAAGGCTATACAATAAAACAGCTACAATGTCAAATTCACTTATATTAAATTTTGAACTTATATTAACAATATGAAGGTAAATATATTTTACCCGCATTGTAACAAATAAATAAACGGTCTTTGGATTTCCCCTTTCTTTAGAATGATCGTAAACAATAAACTTTTATTAACAGAACGAATAAGACATACCCACGTTGTAACAAATAAATAAAAGGTTTTTGAATTTTCCCCTTACTTCAAACGAATGCTTAGTTTGGCTCATTATTATTATTACTAATAATAAAAAAGGCTATACAATAAAACAGCTACAATGTCAAATTCACTTATATTACATTTTGAACTTATATTAACAATATGAAGGTAAATATATTTTACCCGCATTGTAACATAAATAAACGGTCTTTGGATTTCCCCTTTCTTTAGAACGATCGTAGTTTGTGGTTCATTATTAGCCTATTAATTAAAACACATCAGCCATAAAATAGTACAATGGTAAATTTGCATAGGCCTATATTAAACATCTAACTTTTATTAACAAAATGAGTAAGACGGACTTGCGTTGTAACCCAAATAAATACGGTCTTTTCCCTCTTTTAAAACAAATGCTATAGGTTGTGGTTCATTGTTTTATTTATTTTTTTAATGAAAACACAGCAACAATAAAGACAAACTCGCTTATATTAAACGAAGAAATTAAACTTTTATTAACAAAACTTGCGCTTTTGGATCATAGTGTCTCGCATCACTCCTACATATCTGGGGCCGGTTGCACCAGCTGGACATACGCCCGGTTGTAAGACTAGGCTGGACGTAAATTGCGTTTTAAGTCCTGTGTAGAATTAATACCTGTTGCACCATTTGGGCATAGCGCACGTCTGGGACTAAATCTTACGCCTAATCAAAGGTAGGTGTAAAGTGAAAAGCCTTGACTTGTTTCCATAGTGATAATAAACATAATAAATAAAAACAATTACAAGACAATGGCGCGTCTGATATACAGGCTACACGATCGACGGGCTTTCAGGCGTGAAAGAGTAATGAGAGACCGCACCAATCCTCTAGATATATATGGAGACAGAGAACTTATTGAAAGGTTTCGTTTCAGCAGGGTTGAACTGTTAGAATTAATCAACGAGTTATCACAGCAGTTACAGCACGCAACAGACAGGAACGGAGCACTGTCCCCAACACTGCAGGTGCTAATATCTCTTCGATTTTATGCCAGTGGATCTTTCCAAAATACATTCGCTGATATGGTAAATGTAAGCAGAAGTACAGCCTGCCGGGCGATACAACGAGTGTCTCTGGCCCTTCAAAGTCGGGCTCAAATACATGTTCGTCTACCCACCCAGGAGGAGGTCACACGCACTAAGGACAAATTTCGAAGAGATTCCGGCATACCCGGTATTTTTGGCTGTATAGATGGTACTCAAGCAATATAATTAGGCTAATCAGCCTGTAAAAGATAGACCTAATGTAACGTATAAAGATCGTATATTATATTGTATAAAAAGAAAACGAAACGTATCTGCTTTAGATAAATATGCACTTTATTTATTTTATTTTACATTTCAACATTTGACATTTTTTCAACGGTCACAAAGCATAAGCAAAGTGAATAAACTAAAGCTGTACAAAATGATTGCTGGCAAGTAAAAATAAATTATTTAGCTATTGATTAAATTGTGTGTGTTATTAAATCAAATTAGATCTGCTGATGCAGATTTTTTTAATATTAAGATGTATTAAGGATTTAATTAGGGATTTAAAACATACAGAACATTTCTTTAGATCATAGGATTATTCAGATGTTCAAAAACACACTGTCATTCTCGATTGTGTAGCTGGCCCTTCACTCTAACAGCTGGATTTCTAAGGCAAGTTTCCGTTTCTCTAGCTCAAGCTTCTCCTTTTCTACCCTTAACTTCTCTGTCTCCATCTCCACTCTCTTAATTTCTTTCTCCAGTAACACAGCCTGAAGATCCGGTTCCCTTGTCCTTCGAGGAGGTAACGCTGTCGTGTTTTTTGGAGCTGTCCGCGGTGCTAAAGGCGGATTGGGATTATCTGCAAAAGTTTAATGCATTATTAAAATATGAATTGCTTCAGAAATTTGTGTAGGTTACGCCGTACACAGTGTAAACAGGTCTATAGTCTACAACTATTTATTAGCCCACTATTTTAATGTTACCTTCATAACTGGTGTCTGAAGAATCATTTGAAATGGATGAAAAACTTGCGTCCTCTTCAGCTTCAACTTGCTTTTCTTCCGTTACATCTATGTTGCTGGCACTAGTTTCATAGCCTTTTAGGCCAGTAAAAGCTGGCGAGTCGTCTCCAAACACATCCATTATAATAGTGCTGTAGGGTGAGATTTTAGGTGGGGGTCCCCCACCTGTTGGGGGGTTTTTGAGCAGACTAGAGTCTCTGCTGGCTGCCTGAAGAAGATCTTTCCATTTTTTTTTTTACTTCCTCGACTGTCCGGTTTCCTAATCCACCCTCAGCTTCATTTACTGCCACTGTTATCTTTTGCCAGATGTCTTGTTTTTTCTTATTTGTTACTGAATTGTTTTGTTTGCATACTAAAATATGCATTTACCTACTGAAGAGTTCAATCATTTTTCTTGTTTCACAATCGGAGTAATTTAATTTTCTTCTTTTCGGGTCAGCAGCCATTTTTCATTTATTCATTGGAGCTGGTAATTTCAAGTTGTAACCATAGTAACGCGAATGGCGTCTACGCTAAAGGTTAGCTGCGCCTAGTCGTAGTTTTAGATGGTGCAACAGGTGTAAATATTCATCGGAAAGCTGGACGTAACTAAGTCCAACGTAGAGCTTACACCCAACCTTTTTACGTCCAGCTGGTGCAACCGGCCCCCGAGAAGCAGCTGTGGTAATGCCCAAAACAGCAGCTCGGCACATTTGGCCATCAATACACAGAGAACGAAGTAAATACATCCAAAAATATATCAAAAGGTTCGTCTCCTCAGCGTCACTCTGGCGCCATTTTGGAGAGTATCCACTTAACGTAAACAGCATATGCTGACGAATTGTCGAATAAATTAGTTATTTTTGTTTTCTTTTGCGCACAAGACGTATTCTCGTAGCTTCGTAAAATTATAGTTGAACCCCTGATGTCACATGGATTATTTTACCGATATCCTTGCTACGTTTCTGGACTTTGATCGTGGTAATGACACACCAAGCCGAGGTCGGCTAGTTTGATGAATCGGCGTCTGGGCCGTGCGAGTGAGAGCTCTGATTGGATGTTCAATTTAGCGAACGAGTCAGTGCCCGAGAATTAAAGCGAAAGTGATGAAAACAAGCATGTAAATGAAGGCGGTACAGACAGAAGGCTGTTTAAATGTTACGTGATCTTTCCCAATCATTCTAATACGCGAATGTTTTCATAACAACACGAGCCGCTTAAAATGATTAAAGTTATCAACGTTACTGATATTCAAAATGGTAAGCAAGCGCTGCTTTGTTTACGTTTCGTATATCTGCGTTTATCTCGTATATCTTTGTTTCGGTTTCTCCTTTTGAATGACGAATATATACTATTGATAGCTGCTGATATAGACAGTTAATTCCTCTCACGCATGCGCAGAACGCACGTGTTAGTTTGCCGTCGGCTGTAGTCTGTGCGGTGTGTTTCGAGCGCAGATTTTTGGTCCGACGCGAGGCGACAACACCGTCGGCTTTCGTCGCCGCTAGTTCTTTGAAGTCGGCTTGGTGTGTCCCGGCCTTATGGGAGGGTCAGAGGGCTCTCAGATTCAGTCAAAAATACAACACGAGTGCTAGTAATTAATGACAAAATTTTCATTTTTGGGTGAACTATCCCTTTAAGGTGTGGAATATGGTAGAAAATAAAATGCAAAAAAATGTAACAAGTACTTCTCAAGTTAAAATTAAATTGTAAGGCGTAAAAAGTATGTTTTTTTTCCTTCAGAAATGTAATCAAGTAAAAGTACAAGAACTTTAAATTTAAACTGTACTTCAGTAAAATACAAATCCCCCAAAAGTAATGAGTACAGTAAAAAGTATTTTACACGCTTGGAGATGCTTCAAAAACATAATGCATTTTTCTGTAGAGCTTGGCATTTTAATAAGCATCGAATGAGAGAAAAAACCAACCTGTGTGTTCCTCAGTATCTTCATGTTTGACTCTGAATGCTTCTTCAATCTTCACGTCTTCACTCTCCTCTTTAATAAACGCCATCTTTATAACAGTGTGTCCAACCACACAGAAAAAACTCCTGCTGAGATCCACACGCTGTCATGTTTAAGATGAGAATATTTAAAGATAGATCAACACAAACTAAATCAGTGGGTGTGTCTCAATCAGCTCCCTAGTTCAGTAGTTAGCACACTGGTGAGGGAGTCAGTCAGAGTGAGAGTTAATGGCTTCGTCTAGCTCTGGCTTCACAGGCAAGGCTGAAGACTAGTCTCAGACTAAAATGTAAGTCTGAGCTCTTTCAAATGAAAGAAACTTGCACTGACTGATCTTAAAATATGTCCCTGCAATTGTTTTAATTTGCTCACCACCAATGTTTTTTTTTTCTAAGGCACGTTTATAAAAACTACTTACATAATTGAACTATGGCCCAATCCTGGCTTAACCTAAGCCCTGTCTGTGACGCCAGGCCATAATTAGACAAAACACTATAAACAGACACAAGAAATTCATAAAAGTTTCATTCATAATCGCGTTTGTTTGTTGATCTCGTTGTATTGACACGGTTTTGTGCAGCTCGCGCTGAATTGAGATTCGAAACAGAATCATTTTGGGAAGCAATTGACTCGGAGTTTCTGTTTTCTCCATCAATAACGTTACTTGTCAACTACCGAATTCGTGTTCATTATAAACCGATTCTGGATGCGCTTTACTCGCTCAAAATAACGTGCATATAATCGCTAGATAAAGCGCTACAGTGTTACAATCAATATTAACGACTTAACTTTACATCGCTTGTAAAAAAAACTATTAAACAGACTCAACGGTTTGCATCGATGTAAACACTGCAATGTTTAAAAACAAACCTTTCTTCAGCCGAATAACAGATGCAGGAGCGCGACGCTGCCTTATGACGTCACAGAGCCGTACCAAAATAAAAGTCCTGTTCACAAGCCAACATTTCAAAAGTACATGAAACACACACACACTATGGAAGGCCGGAAAGACAAATACTTCTTTAGACGTTACATGTACAGACGATATAACGTGTGGACGCGTAATTGCATCTAAACACGTTATTTCGTGTACAGACATTAATATTTTGGCCAATGGCAAGGCCGAAGACTTGACAATTTGCATAAAATTAATTAAACATAATAGTGACATAAATATCTACCTAAGAACATGTCATTAATGAATAATGCATATAAATGTGACGTGCCATCGTAGGTACCATAGTACGTGGTCGCGTGTCAGCGCTATCTATGGTCGCATGATAATGACGTCGTGTTACTAATGAAGGAGGAGTATAGTATTTCAAAATACAGGCGGCAGAGGAACCATGGTGTTGAGAAATTTTGTGAACAATTGCAAGCTAATTTTTCAGGAATGCGCTCACTTGTGTCTAACGGACAATGTGGAAGAGGATACTTTTCAGTCCATAATTTCAAGGCAAGTCATAAGGTGAAGGGCGGCATAGGGCACCGCTAGCCCACGGATTTAAGTCAAGTCACCCTCATTTATATAGCGCAATACAGCTTGTTTCAAAGCAGCTTTACAGTGATGTCAGCAAAAAAAATTAAATAATATATTGTCATTGTTCAGCTGTCAGTTCAGTGCTGAAT